GTGCTTGAATTTTCTTGTGGAGATAAAATAAAAACTAAAATATTCACGTTTGAAAAGTTATTAAATATCTTGAGTATCCCGAATACTTTCTCCATGTTTGGCGTCGTCCTAATTCCATTAGGATGTCACCGGCCTCTATACGTTATTACTATCATTATTTTATTATTTTGATTTTTTTTTCTTTATATTTTGACTTTATAGATTTATTGACTATAAAAGAACAATACTTTCTGTGTTCACCGTATGCTCACATATAGAACGCCGAAAATACCATATATTTGTATTATTTTAAAAGACAAATGTTCGAGTTCTTATTACTACAAAAAATGAGCTAGCAAAAATAAGCATTTCACTACACTTACTTGAACTACAGGGACTTGCAGAAAAAGGTGAGTTGAATATTTTTCTTCGGGGGAGTGAAGTTCCGAGGTGGTGCAACTACCAGAGTGAGGGACACGTTCTACGTTTTTGGGTGCCTCAGCTCGTGGGTCGGAAAATACAAGGGTTTATTTTCTGTGTTGTTTTTTCTGACAGACGTTTAGGCATTGGCTATCTTGTTTCTAATAGAACCAAGATGTCTAGGGGATCAATTCGTTCATCAAGAGTTTCTTTCCATCGTCCAAGATTTTAAAGATCACATGTGGCTCTCTTATGTACCACACCGTTGCCTTGAATCTAAGTGGAGACGAGAATAGTGGACCACCACCACCTTTGGCAGGTGAAAATGTGTGGGATTAGTCTGGTTTACAAGGATCCTGTTTCATATGATGACTCAAATATTTACCCAGTTGAGGAAAATTGGTCTCCGGAACTGTCACTGTTGCTCCGCACTCGTTTAACTCAAATATTTACGTAGTTGACAAAAGTAGGTCTCCCTAACTGTCACGGTTGTTCCACAGTACTTGCTCATGTGATTAGTTTTTAAGTTTAATTAATGGGTTGCTCCTCTTTGTATGCAGTATTAAAATCTATAATTTTAATTTCTTCTCTTTTTCAATTGGCTTTTATTCTCTTCTCTTTCCATAGTTTGTAAAGATACATAAATACAACCAACCTTCTATCAATGCAATATTCTTTTTTATTTTTTCTCAATTATTTTTTCATTGTTTATATATATATATATATATATATATATATATGCTTCATATGGATTCATGCCAACCTTAATTAAATATGCTCCGTATGGATAGACGGCTATAGTCAAATCAGATATGTAATTATTGAAATAATTGTTGGAGACTCAAATAATGGCTTTACAAGCATGATAGCTCATATGATGTTCTATATCTCCATGAATTTAGGAACTTTTGCTATGTATTATTTGGTCTACGTACATGAACTGATAACATTTGAGATTATGCAGACTTATATACGAAAGATCCAAATAATACATAGCAAAAGTTCCTAAATTCATGGAGATATAGAACTTCATATGTGGCTCTCTTTAGCCATATGTCTCTTATCCCTAGGAGGTCTTCCTCCATGTTTTTTCTAAAAACTTTATTTATTCTGGCGTGAATGGCACGCCTATATTTCTTGGATTCAATAGGACTCCTTACCAGCGTTGTTTCTATCTAGTATCATCTAAAAATAATCAAGTTTTTAATGACTGGGCGAAACCAATAAATTTCTATATATAGATTCGTACTTCAGAGATGAAATTTCGTGATTGTAAGCTTCAATTGAAATAAAATTATTGATTTGAGCTTAGTTGAAGTAAAATTATTGATTTGAGTTTTAGTTAGCTTGTGCAAGAGAGATGAGGATAGTTTTACAAACGAAAAGAGAGGTATGAGTGGTGATGCATAATCACACTTTAGAGACGTGGGTGGTTTGGCAAGTGATAGAAATTTATAGATGATAAAAATAATAAATGATAGCAAGTGAAAGATAAAAATAATAAATGATAGCAAGTGATATCTGTGTGTGTGTGTGTGTGTATATATTAAAAGAAAATTGAAAAAAGATGAAGGAAAGAACCTATATTTCAACTTAGCAATACTAGTAAAATACAAGTGAGATGCTAGTGTTCAAATACTTGTAAAGTAAAAAAATTCGTAAGGGTAAAAAATATATATTATATATTATAATTTTTACATATACATATATATATATATATATATCTAATACTTAATTGTCAGGTAATTTGATCAAGTATACATTTTTGACAAATTTTGAACATTCAAATGTAACTTTTTCTATAATAATATTATAGTACAATTATGAAGAAAATTTTAAATTTTATTTTAAAAACAAGTATTGATATATATATATATATATATCATAATTTAGTGCAAAATTTAAATCATATTAATAATTGCATTTAAATACATAATTTTATAAAAGAAAATTGACCAAAAATTGATTACTTTTGCATATATAAAATTTTATTCAATATTTTGAGATTTGACTTATCACCGTATGGGGTCCAAACGAAGGATACAAATTTACAAGTTAATTCTCTCTGCAATTGAGATCTACACGTCTTGATGTAACCATTATATCTACACCATAGCAACTCCTCTTAATCCAATTTATCTTTAACTTTCAAAAAAATCAAAAAAACTCCCTAATAAATGATCTATTGACGAATAAATAAAGCTTCTTGTTTTCCATAATTTTATATATCATTAATCATTATTATTTTTAAAATGAAATCACTCCATATGCTTCAACACATTCCAACCAAGGAATCGATACAAGCTTCTTCTATAAAATCACTTTTTAGAAGATGGGGCATAAGAGGTCTCCTTTCTGTTTCCACACAAAATATGATGGGGAGTTTTAGGTCAAAGTAAGTTCATGCTCATATAGCCAAGTAGAGTGGAAGGTTAACATAGCTTCTTTGGTACCAAATTTCTGGGCCAGTTTTTAAATGACTATGTGATGCAGCCCATATTGTAAGCTCTTTAGTTTTTTCTAAGCTTAAAATCAAAATAATTCACTATATGCAAAATAAGTTGTTGGTTTGTTTATTATGATTCCCAAAGTAGAAGACTCATTCAAATGAGTTTGGGTAGGTCTATCGTTTTATGTAAGTAATATCAAATGGTTGGTTTTGTGTCAAATTATATCCAGATCAGATTACGTATTAGATTACTAATGCTTTGTCAAACTATTTTTTTTTTGGAATTGATATTCAATGATTTTATACAAGTAAATATCTAACGGTAAGTTTCTTGTCAATTACATCCATTTCAGATAAGGTATTAAATTAGTAATGCATTGTCAAACTAGTTTTGGATTTGATATTATATTTGGAGTAAGCTTCCACAAACATATTCTTGTTGAAATCTCACCATTGTCTTTCTCTCTGTAGCTACTCCACATTAGGCAGATGGTATTATTTTCTTTCATGTTTATAGAAATTATTAAATATTCGGAATACCTACAATGTAGTATTCCCCCAATGCTTACTTTCTTTCCATTTGAAAAAAAATATTGAAGGTGCCGTGGTGCACGGGAAGACACGCAAGGTGTCGGAACTACATTTCTTCCTTAGATTGGTCAGGATTAGTTACTTCATCAATTTAAAAATTCATATCATTAAATTTTTTTTTTTTTTTTTCCTTGCTTACTTTGTTAAGAAAATAGATAATATATAGTCAATAAATGGGTATTAAACTTTCTGAAAGAACACAATTGTATCATAATTTGTTATTGTTCAGTCTTGTCTCATTTAATAAATGGCTTCATAATATAGGATGAAATTCATTCATTCATAGGTAAGTTGCTTTGAACCCTGAACTTAACTCATTTACAATCTTAAACAATTGACATCGCTAGCAACATAGGCAAAAGTCATCACAGTGGCGGGGGTCATTTGAGACTTTTCCCACCGAATTAAGCTGAGAAGTCAAAGTGATTTCACATTTGAAAATAATTCATCCTTTTTCCGGACAATTCCTTTGTCCATGAGTTTGTTACGCATCTCTTTATCCAGCCAAATTTTTTTTCCTAAATTACATATGCCCTACATTGCCATGCCTTCTCCAATCTCTACTGAATATATTTTTGTAATTTTTAGGTTACAACTTACAAATATTTTGCAGCACACAACAAAAAATATAAATCAAGAGTGGTAATATTACAACTTAGGTTTATTTGTTAAAGTGAAATCATTAAGATCAATGATATCCTAAACGCGCGTGCATGCTTGTGTGAGTGCGCGCGCGCGCGCGCGTTCTATCTTTACCCTGACTTAATTACCTGCTAAAGAGTCTTGGACATATCATAAATTAAAAAGAAAGAACAAGTATGCGTTGGATTTTCACTTAGCAAGCTTACTTATTTATTTTTTTTAATATTTCAAAAATAGCTTTTGATGGATCATTTTGTCAAAATTATATTGCCAGAAAATATTATAGCTAGCTTAGTTTCTGAGAATACTCTTTCTATTCTGTAAAAATAATTTGCCCAAATTTGTTAAAATTGACAACAATGAAAATAATAATCAAGGGTGATACTCTCTAGATTACATCTCTCTTTTGCTTAATTTTTATATATTTATATATATATATATATATATGATGGATGTATAATTTAAATATCTATAATTAAGGGAAGATTACTAAATTAACGCACTATTGAGATAGGCTCTGCAGATTACGATAAGGATTACAGATTGAGATAGGCTTTACAGATTACGATAAGGATTAAAGATTGTGATAAGGATTAAAGATTACAATGAGGATTAAGTCTACAGATTACAATAAGGTAATTCTACGTGACATCTTAACCTAAGCCCTATAAAAAAGGCGGGGGAATCAACGTTTTGAGGTACGCAATAAACCCTAACTCAATTTCTCGATTTCTCCAGGGAGATTATCATTCACACTGACTTGTTCATCGGAGCCTACTCCACCGGTAACACACCGGTGTTCGTAGGATCACTTTTTCTTCTCTTTATTCAGAAAGTCAGATCAGATCCAGGTTGCGCAGAATCCATCATCAACAGTTGGCGCCGTCTGTGGGAACGATTTTAGTTCTCTAAATAAAGTATGGTTCGATTGCAATCTGGTCTGGTTGCTGGCGAATACGAAGCGTTACAAACTTCTGATCAAGGGGACTCGACGAGGCAACCCCCCGCCGTCCCAAATGATCAGGAACGCGTCACAGCGTTGGAACAACAGGTTTAAACCCTAAATAAGGGAATGAACCAATTAGTCCAGAAAAATTCAATGATTCTACAACGCTTAGCCGCCCTTAATAAGGTGGAGAATAATGAAGTACCCAAGAATGACTCCCGTAGGATTGACAACGACACTGAGCTTAGTCAAATAGGGGGTCAGCAGAGAAGCCATCACCATCGGTCTCTTGAACGGAATAATACCAGGCTCCGTGCAGGTACCTCTGGTTGTGTTGGTGACAAGATTGAAGACGTCACTTATTTCAATCTGTAGATGCAAGATCTGAGAACTAGGGTCAAAGACGTCATGCAAGCAATGAAAGGGAAGGGCCAGGCCACAGTGAACGATCTGGTACAGAAGACCAACCTAGCATTTAGCCTCGCTGTTTTGTTATGAGTTGTCCTCTATCTAGCAAATTTAATATGCCAACTCTTGAGAGCTTCGAGGGGACGCGGGACCCTCTCGATCATTTGGAGACCTACAGCCAACTCTTGAGAGCTTCGATGGGACGCGGGACCCTCTCGATCATTTGGAGACCTACAGCCAACTCTTGAGAGCTTCGATGGGACGCGGGACCCTCTCGATCATTTGGAGACCTACAAAGCTCTTATGTATTTACAAGTCGTACCGGATGAGATTATATGCAGGGCTTTCCCTACCACACTAAAGGGTTGGGCTCGTCCTTGGTTCAATAAATTAAAGCCAGGCTCCATTGAAATCTTTAATGAGTTGAGCAAACAATTCATTGGACACTTCATCGTTGGGCAGAGGCATAGGAGACAGCAACACACTTATTGATTGTGAAACAGCAGAAGGGAAAGCCTCTCCGTGGTTACATAAGTCGTTTTAACACTGATATACTGCAGGTAGAAGAGGTGGACGACAAGGTTGCCCTCACAGCCTTTATGGGAGGACTACAGACTTCTAAGTTCCTATTTTCCTTATCAAAAGAAGCCCCTACAAGCATGACAGAGTTGATGGTTAGAGCATGGAAGCACATGAATGCTGAGGATGCTATGAATGCACGAAAAAATAAAGATGGTGAAGATAAGAGGTCGGAGAAGAAGAGGCTAGCACCTAACACTAGGGAGGAAAAGGAATCGAAGTACAAGAAATTCTCAAACAACCAGGTTAACAGATCGTCTCGCCGCCCAGTGAGCCCAGGCAGGTATAATAACTATACCCCCTAAATACATCTGTAGATCAAGTCTTTCTACAGATTCAAGATGACGCATCATTGAAATGGCCACCAAAGCTAAAAGCTAATCCAACAAAGAGGTCTCTAAGTAAATACTGTAGGTTTCACCGGGACCATGGACATAACACAGAAGATTGTTTCGACCTCAAAAACCAGATCGAGAACCTTGTTCGTAAAGGTCATTTACGCAAATTCACAACTGGAAATGGAAAAGGAGGCTCCAACCCAGCCCGGGAGGGCCGAGATGATCGCCCTCCTCAACACCAACCAATGGGTGAGATCAAAGTTATATCGGGTGGCTTCGCTGGTAGTGGTGAGACGAGTTCGGCTCGGAGGGCTCATGCTAGGAGTATTCGGAGTTTTTCAGAGGTGAATGAAGTTGGAATGACAAGTCCTCCAACAAAATTACCTCGAGTTGAGGAGCCGGTCATAACCTTTTCTGAAGAAGATGACAAGGGAATTCACCAGCCCCATGATGACCCCCTGGGCATACAAGAAATTGAAAATTGGCCGAGAGAAGCTCCGACCCATGAAATCACCACTGGTGGGATTTTCAGGCGATAAAGTACATCCACTGGGGGCAGTTACCCTTCCAGTTACTGCAGGAGCCAATCCAAAGCAGGTCACTATAATGGTGGACTTTGTAGTGGTGGACTGCCCATCATCATACAATATTATCCTGGGGAGGACAACATTGAATGCCATGAAAGCAATCACGTCCACTTACCATCTCCTGATGCGCTTCCCAACTGAATATGGTATGGGAGAGCTAAGAGGGGACCAAACAATGGCTTGCGAATGTTATGTCGCCTCTCTTAAAAAAACAAAATCGTAAGAGGCATTTACGATTGAAGGGCTGGAAGGGAAAGATAGGCCAGACTTTCATAGAGCGGAACCTACAGAGGAGCTAGAAGAGGTCATCCTTGGTGACAGTGAGCCCGAGAAAAAAGTGAGTATAGGGTCTTTACTCCCCCCAGGTATCAAAGATAAACTTACTCAATTCCTCAGGAAGAATCGAGACGTATTTACATGGGTCCATGAAGACATGCCGGGTATAGACCCCACTATCATAGAGCACCGCTTAAATGTAAATCCTGACTTTAAACCTGTCAGACAAAAGATGAGGACTTTCGTTCCAGAAAGGAATCAGGCTATATCAGAAGAGGTGGAAAAGCTCTTAAAAGTCGACTTTATTCAAGAGGTGTACTACCCCGACTGGCTGGAAAATGTGGTCTTAGTGAAGAAGGCAAATGGAAAATGGAGGCTATGTGTGGATTTCACCGACCTTAACAAAGCTTGCCCGAATGACAGCTTTCCTCTCCCAAGAATCGATATGCTCGTTGAGGGAACGGCTGGACACGAACTATTAAGTTTCATGGATGCATATTCTGGATACAACTAGATATCTATGTACAGCTCAGATAGAGAAAAAATGGCCTTCATCACTGATAGAGGTTTGTACTGTTACAAAGTAATGCCGTTTGGGCTCAAGAACGCTAGTGCAACATACCAAAGGCTAGTGAATGTAATGTTTAAGCATCAAATTGGTAGACACATGGAGATATATGTTGATGACATGTTGGTGAAAAGCTTAAAAGCTAAAGACCATTTGACTGACCTGCAGGAGACCTTCGAGGTACTTAGGAGGCATAAGATGAAACTCAACCCCAGTAAGTGTGCCTTTGGGGTTTCCTCAGGAAAGTTCTTGGGATATATGGTAAGCAGAAGAGGAATTGAGGCCAATCCAGAGAAGATCCGAGCAGTCATTGACATGAGATCGACAAGATCAACCAAGGATCTACAATGACTAACAGGGAAGATTACTGCCTTGAGTAGGCTAATCTCTCGGTCAACTGACAGGTGTCTACCTTTCTTTCGTGTGCTAAGGAATGCGTTTGAATGGACCCCAGAGTGTGAGCAGGCGTTCAAAGAACAAAAGCAATACCTTAGTTCTCCCCCACTACTGTCTCGAACCATACCGGGAGAGGAACTATACATATACCTTGCAGTCTCCACGACAGCTGTCAGTTCAGCTCTGATACGAGAAGAAGAAGGTGTCCAAAGGCCAGTATACTTCGTGAGCAGAGCACTTAGGGGTGCGGAGGAAAGATATCCAAGGATGGAACAGTTGGCCTTTGCTTTAATTGTGTCCGCCAGGAAACTGAGACCATACTTTCAAGCGCATACGATAGTGGTCCTAACAGATCAACCCTTTCGACAGGTCCTACACAAGCCAGAAAGCTCTAGTCGACTGATGAAGTGGTCAGTAGAGTTAGAAGAATTCGACATTCAGTATAAGTCAAGAACAGCAGTAAAGTCTCAAGTGTTGGCTGATTTCTTAGCTGAGCTTACCCCTCCAGAAGAGGAGAAACAACCCCAATTTTCGACAGAACCAGGTTTAAGTGAGCAGATGGGCCCAGAAGTAGTCTGAGACTTGTTCGTGGATGGGTCATCTAATGTTCAGGTTAGCGGAGCCGGGCTTGTTCTTGTCTCCCCAGAGGGAGAAAGTATACAGTACGCACTTCGGTTTGGTTTCAACGTAACCAACAACAAAGCAGAGTACGAAGCCTTGATAGTAGGATTAAAAGTGGCAAATACCCTAGGGGTTGAGCAATTACACCGACTCCGAGCTGGTCGCTGAACAAGTTCAAGCGGAATATGAGGCACGAGACGAGAAGATGAAGAGTTACCTACAAAAGGTGAAGGAATTAAAGAATCACTTCCAAAGATTCTCAATTCATTAAATACCATGAGAAGAGAATGGGAAAGCAGACGCTTTAGCCCGGCTAGCTACTGCATTGAACCTGAGATCAATAAGAATATACCACTGGAATATTTGGACGAACCATCTATATCTCAGGAGAGACAAATTTAAGTGCAACAAGCAATATTGAGTGTGGAATGGGCAGATCCTATCATCAGATATATCAAGGATGGGGTGCTACCAACAGACCGAGCAGAAGCTCGAAAGGTCAAGATGCGGGCAGCTAGGTATACGGTTATCAAAGGGGTGCTCAACAAGAGAAGCTTCTCCATGCCGTATTTACGATGCGTTTCTAGCGAGGAAGCTGACTACATTTTAAGGGAGATCCACCTAGGAGTTGTGTAAACCATGCTGGGGGTAGGTCACTTGCTAACAAGGCCATCCGACTAGGATACTATTGGCCCACCATGCAGAAAGATGCACTTGACTTTGTTCAAAAGTGCGACAAGTGTCAACAATTTGCCAACATCCTGAGACAACCGTCAGAGGAGATGACTCCCATGTCAAGACCATACCTCTTTCCCCCTTAAAAGAATGAAGGGTCAGCTTCATCTTCTTCCCTCGATAAAAAGATGAGGGGTTAACTACTTCCCTTGTTAAAGGGTGAGCTGAGTGAAGCTCATATTAATCTACTTCCCCTGTTAAAGGGTGACCTGGGTGAAGCTCGTATTAATCTACTTCCCTTGTTAAAGGGTGAGATAAGTGAAGCTCATAGTAATCTACTTCCCTCGTAAAAAGATGAGGGGTTAACTACTTCCCTTGTTAAAGGGTGAGCTGAGTGAAGCTCATAGTAATCTACTTCCCTCGTTAAAAGGTGAGCTGGGTGAAACTCATAGTAATCTACTTCCCCTGTTAAAGGGTGAGCTGAATGAAACTCGTATTCATCTACTTACCTTATTACGAGTTACGTGAAACTTGTCTTAATCTACTTTCCTTATTAAAGGGACGAGCCGACTAAAGATGTCAATAAAATCAAGTATAAAATAACGGTAGTATGCCAGCAGGGCAGCTTGCCAAATAATGGGAGCATGCCAGCAGGGCAGCTTGCCAAATAAAGGCAGCATACCAGCAGAGCAGCTTGCCAAATAACGGCAGCATGCCAGTAGGACAGCTTACTAAATAAAAGCAGTATGCCAGCAGGGTAGCTTGCCAAATAAAGGCAGCATGCCAGCAGAGCAACTTGCCGAATAACGGCAACATGCCAGTAGGACAGCTTACCAAATAAAGGCAGTATGCCAGCAGGGCAGCTTGCCAAATAAAGGCAGCATGCCAGCAGAGCAGCTTGCCAAATAACGGCAGCATGCCAGTAGGACAGCTTACCAAATAAAGGCAGCTTGCCAAATAAAGGCAGCATGCCAGCAGGGCAGCTTGCCAAATAATGGCAGCATGCTAGCATAACAGCTTACCAAATAAAGGCAGCATGCCAGCAGGGCAGCTTGCCAAATAAAAGCAGCATGTCTGCCAGGGCAACTTGACAAATAACGGCAGCATGCCAGCAGGACAGCTTACCACGGCAGCATGGCATGGCAGCTTGCCACATAACGGTAGACTACCAGCATGGCAGCTTGCCACATATACGAGCTGCCAATGTGGCACTACGACAAATATACAAGCTTGCCAATATACGACAAATATACGAGCTTACCTCATATACGAGCTGCCAATGTGATACTATGACCCCCGACTGTATTCGCGAAATGACAATATAAGTCAGGCTAATGGACAAGGCTCTGTAATTCTAACTATATATTATTGTGTGATATTTTGGAATTAACGTTCCGGTGGTTTGATAAGCAATCCTCCGAAACGGGGGGCAACTGATGGATGTATAATTTAAATATCCATAATTAAGGGAAGATTACTAAATTAATGCACTATTGAGATAGGCTCTGCAGATTACGATAAGGATTACAGATTGAGATAAGCTTTACAGACTACGATAAGGATTAAAGATTGTGATAAGGATTAAAGATTACGATGAGGATTAAGTCTACAGATTATAATAAGGTAATTCTACGTGACATCTTAATCTAAGCCCTATAAAAAAGGCGGGGGAATCAACGTTTTGAGGTACGCAATAAACCCTAACTCAATTTCTCGATTTCTCCAGGGAGATTATCATTCACACTGACTTGTTCGTCGGAGCGTACTCCACTAGTAACACACCGGTGTTCGTAGGATCACTTTTTTTTCTCTTTATTCAGGAAGTCAGATCAGATCCAGGTTGCGCAGAATCCATCATCAACAATATATATATATATTAGAATTATATTATTATTTTATACCGGATCATTGCCATATCTTGTGTTTTATTTATTTTTTTTATAAATTTAAATATATATGAAGTTGAAGGGTGAGTTAGAGAGAGAAAGAGTTGCCACTGAAATAACAAAAGATTGTTTTATTTGAGCGGGTTAAAATATGTATCCACTTTTAACGCATCATTGACTATTGAATTGTATGGGTATTCACTTTTTACCCATTACTGCCCACTTAAATTTGAATATCTAAATAATTTAATTTTAGTGAGCAAGCTTGGACAATTTAATGAGTTTGAATATTACCACCCCCAAATGCTATCATTTAAAATTTTAACAATTAAATTTAAACTTTCAAAATATTCAATAATCAACTTTTAGTTTTACTAAAAAATCACTAAATCTTTCGGTTAGAATAGAATTAATGGATTATTACATATAAATAGTGTTAATAACCCATATTTACTATTTAATGAAGTAAAAATCTCTTAGTTTCGAAAAAATGAAACATGAAAAACACTGTTTATCCTCACTGAAGTACTACCTTTAGGCACACATGTAGCACTTTTTGTTATTAGGTACCACTTTTTGTTTTGTACAAAAAAAAGTAGTACCTGATGCACAAAAAGTGATATATATGTGAATAAAAGTGGTACCTCTATATCCAAAACAAAAGTGGTACCCAATACAAAAAAAGTGATACCTACGTACACAAAAAGTGATAGCTATTTGCTTAAAAGTAGCACCTCAATGAGGATAAATAATATTTTTTCATTGTCATGTTAATATTTTGGTCAACTTTATTTTTTTAAAATTATGAAATTTTAACTTTATTAAATAAAAAATATGAGTCAATAACACAATTTACATGTAACAATCCTTAAAATTTACTATATGGGTATAATGGAAGGGAGATATTTTAAAGCATTTCCACTTTATATCCTTAACTTTCCTTGTTGATCCGAAATGCAACCTCAATGAAAGTAGCAAAATTATTTGCGGTCATGGGAGGGCAAGAAGTCAAGTGGTTCATTAAGAAGTCAAGTCAAGTGGTCCAACACGTAATAGGATAAACGTGTTGTGTGGTTTTGAAGACGAAAAATAAAAAAATAATTAATGGCCCAACTAGAAGTCAAGTGAAGTGGTCCAACAAGTAAAAGGATAAACGTGTTGTGTAAATAATTAATGATCCAACAAGAAGTCAAGTGAAGTGGTCCAACACGTAATAGGATAAACGTGTTGTGTGGTTTTGAAAACAAAAAATAAATAAATAATTATAGTGTGCAAGACTTTATTATTTCAACTCTTAAAAGATTCTTGGAAAAATAAGCTCACGACACTCCCATAGACCGATCTATATAAGCCAAGGTTATGCCCTGCTTCTCTCACGCGCAACCAAATTTTCCTTTCCTTTCCTTTCCTTTCCTCTCCTCTCCTCTCCTCAAAGTGTTTGAGCTACGAAAATGACAGCTTCCTGCGTTTATGATGTGTTCTTGTCTTTCAACGGTGTTGATACTCGTAAGAAATTTACGAGCCACCTCTTGACCGCTTTGAATCACCATCGTTTTTACATGTTCATAGATGACACTAGACTCACAAGAGGAGAAGAAATTGGTCGCGGATTGCTCGAAGCAATAGAGCAATCTAAGGTCTCCATTATCGTATTTTCAAAGAACTATGATTCCTCAAGATGGTGCCTTGACGAGCTTGTCAAGATCATGGATTGCAAGAGTGCATTCAATCAGACTGTTATTCCATCTTTTATGACGTCCAACCCTCCGACGTTCGCTCACAGAAGGGTTGTTATGCAGAAGCATTTGCTAGTCACAAAAAACGGTTCAACTTTGAATCATTGAAGAAATGGAGGTCGGCTCTAGTTGAGATGGCCAATTTGTCCCGTTACGTCTTGCAAAATGAGGCCAATGGGTACTCAATTATTTTTCTCTCTCTCTTAAAAAAGAAAGGGTGAAGTGTAAAAAAAACTCCTACAGTTCAAAAGTGTCCAAACAAGGGTTTCTGACCTCAAATCGTGACATGTGCGGGTCATGTGATCAAAAAAATCTCTTTAATACTAACACTACCCTTTTAGACTTTTCAAACTGCCCCTCAATCATTTCTCCCTCATTTCTATATATAATACTCAGTTTCATTATTTCTCTTTTTATAATTTCTCTGTTTGTATATATTTTTGTTCTTCTCATTCTTTGTCTCTCTCTAATGACTGTCTCGCACATATATAAATTCTATTTCTTTAATACTAATAATAATAAATAATAAATTTATTAAATTTATTTTTCTTAAAAAATTCTGCTTATAAATAAATTAAATATATTTTTAATAAGAAAATGATTTGGCACTTGACTTTATATATATACATATATATTCCATTATATTTCATTTGATTTTTTTAGATAAAGATAATAATAAAAATTATTTATTTGATTGAAAGATATTTATATTTTACATTATACTACTCTATAATGTTTTTGATTATTTATTGATTTTTTTACATTATATTTCATTTTATTTTACTCTATAATTTTGTGTAAGCCTTTTTAAGTAATTTCAACTTCTACTCATCTTTAATTATTTTTGTAAAGAGAATATTGTGGGGCATTTTTGTATTTTTTTCTATCTCACTTTATTTAAGTGACAATAAGCCCTTGTTTGCTCACTTTTCATACTACAAAGGTGGGATTTGAACATTTGAGGCGTTGTTCGCACACTTTTCAAATTATAAAGGTTTTTTTTTTTTTTGCACTTCACCCAAAAAAACAAATCTAAAACATTACTTCTTTATTTATTTTTGTTTGGATGCACAATTACTCACTCATAAATTACTTGTATCATTTAAATGGGCATTTTAAATTTTAATTTCTTAGTTTTACCATTTAAACTCAGTGTTTCTAAAATTGCTTAATTTCACCTTTTTTTATGTAAAATTTCTTAGTTTTTTTATTTGATTTTTTTCTCCTAAATGGTAGAATTTTTTTTGGCAGGTGTGAGTCAAAGTTTATTAACACTATTGTTGGAGAAGTCGCAGATAAATTGAATCCAACAGGTTTATGTGTTGCGGTGTACCCAGTTGGAATACACGATCGTGTTCAACAACTGAGTGGGTTTCTAAAGTTGGGGTCTGATGATGTTAGGATTGTTGTCATACTAGGGTTTGGTGGAATAGGTAAGACAACAATCTAGAATACCTTAGCTTAAGGGGTTTAAATATGCACTTTTCAGCACTCATTATTCACCTCCCTAGAAAGGGAGTTAGTAACCCATAGGAGCAATGGAGGAAGGAGAAGAGATCATCATCCCCACCATTTTCGTACCTCAAGGCCACAAAACACATAAACCCTCAAGCTCAGAATATTTCTCTCTCTAAAACCTTACCAAAATGAGATATCTTTATACATGATACAAGCCACCAAATATATCTTAAAAATCTTATCTATCTCCCCCAATTTGTGGCTCAAAAATCCCTAGAAAGAAACCTAGCCATTCATTAAATCAAATGGGACAACTTTGAGCAAAATCACGGAGTGCGTGAGCAGATCTCTACAAATCGGCGGGCGCCCGCGTTGTGACGAAGCTACTGCCAAAATTGGCGGGTGCCCGCGGCTTACTTGGCCGGCGCCCGTGGCTTCACGAGCCCACTGTCCATTTTGGCAGGCACCCGCAAGTTGTCCTCAGCTCTGCGCACCTTTGGTAAAAAGACCATAACTCTCTGCTCCAAAGTCCAAATGACGAACCGTTTGATGATTTGGAAAGCTAACTCAAAGATCTAAGTACATCATATTTAATGGGAGTCTAATTCTCAAGTGTGGTAGGTCAAAAATGAAGAACAAAGTCAAACTTCACTGTTGCCAGGCTACTTTTGGTAAAAAGTCCATAACTCTCTGCTCCAAACTACAAATGACAAACCATTTGATGATTTGGAAAACTAACTCAAAGATCTAAGTACGGATTGTTAATAGGAGTCTAATTCTCAAGTGTGGTGGGTCAAAAATGAAGAACAAAGTCGAACTTCACTACTGCTAGGCTGCTTTTGGCTCGGTCCGTTGACGCACTGATCGCGGCTAGCGCTTTTTATAGGGATAACCAGGAGTTTAATGAGACACTGGCTTGGGCAAAAATGAAGGTTCCTGGCAATGGTGGGCTTTGATTCTTCACAAACTCAATAAAGCCACATTTTTAACTATCTTTGGGGAACCAACCTGAAAGTAAACAAAAACGCGCAAATGAAGCTAATATGTACAATATGATTAACTAATGGACTTAACTAATGCAAATAAAGGTGCCTCAATATGTAATATTCGGCGCTTATCACACCCCCAAACTTACATTTTGCTAGTCCTATAGCAAAACTAAAATGAAGACACTTAATGAAAGGACAAAAAATCTCCTCTTTCGTGGGAGTGACGGATGCATTTAGCATATGCAACAAGCCTTTTAAAACCCCTAGGTATCCCTAGAGGAAGAGTGAAATCTCGTGAGGGTTTAACAGAAATGTTACCCACAAACATCAAATATGGTCCATGAAGATGCACAAAGCTCATTTGATAACCTAGAACATAGAGAACATTGGAGATGGAATCATTATAAAGGTTACCTTGTGTATATGAAGCCTTGATATAACACATTTCAATTCTCATGCATCAACATCATAGTCTATATAAATACTTCAATTGTCATCTCTTTAATAGAAATCAACTCTAACTTCAATGAAAGTGAACCAGATTCCCAATATGTGGCTTTTACCTTCTTTTTCTAATTTCAAAACACAAGCTTCAAATTATTTAATTTCCCTTTTGAATGAGGTCTCTAAGGCATGAATTTATTCAGAAAATAACTTTTGTTGCTCTTATATATATATATATATATATGATACATATTATGGTCGTGTAATGCCAAAATCCCTTAAGCTTTCTAACCAACCCATGTAGCAAGTGTTAAGCTAGCAACTCCCAAACTGGATGGCTTCAGGGTGCTAAGTGTAAAGACACTCCAAAGGCTTAATAACTCGAGTTAGCAAGGCTACGAACTCCAACGAACCATATTTATTTATTTTTATTTTTGTGAATGACCGTGGAATGCCTAAGTCCCTTAAACTTTCTAACTAACCCATGTAACAAGTGTTAGGCCAGCAACTCCCAAACCGGACGGCTTTAGGGTGCTAAGTGTAGGGACACTCTAAAGGCTTAATAACTCGAGTTAACAAGGCTACGAACTTAAACTAGTCATTATCCTTTTTTTTTTCTTTTTTTTCTTTTTTTTATTCAATGCCAAAGATATCCATTCATTAGGGTCATCAATTCAAATCAACTGAGTCATGGTCAAGGTAAATCGGGTTGCATGCCTCACAATTGAGTTTCCGGTGTGCATCTGTGAAGTGTGAAGCATAGAAGAGTATGAAAACCGACGAGAGTCTAATTGAAGTATTTATACAAACCAATTTGAATCAACATGATCATTTCAAATTTTTCTTTATTTTCAAAACTATCATTTATCTCTATACACAAAGTATTAAATATATGTTTCAATCTCCAACAAGTTCCAAGATTATAGAATCATTGCTTCCCAAAAACATTATTTATTATTATTATTTTTATCGAAATATATGAACAATTAACACATGCAAACAAAAATGCAAAAAAAAAAAAAAAAATGCATACCGAAAATATACCCCCAAACTTAAATGTCACATTGTCCTCAATGTGTGAAGACAAGTAAATCAAAATAAGAGCAAAAAGGGTAAAAGAACAATAATACCAAGTGGAGTGAGGAAGGCAAAGGGTGCCAGCTATGTGAATGCGCAAATGTTTCCCCCAAACTTGGACATGAAGATCTATCAAAACATAACTAATATACATATGTAAAAGCATAGGTCTCTTAAGAAAAACTAAAACAAAATTAATAACACAAACATGAATTTTATTGAAAGATAAAAATCCACACAAAACACAAATCCGCACACATAAAAAGAAATTCAGCCACAAGTTTAAAACGGATAACAAAATAATGCCAAAAGTGGTGCCATTTAGAGAGATGAAGTTGGTTTAGGCAATTCGTCGAACACCTGGTGTGCAAGACAAAAAGGAAGAGGGCCAAAGGATGATTAGAGATGAAAAATCCCAAAAATTTTGGCCCTGCAAATGCAATACACAACCCCAAACAAATATTACACCTCCACATAATCAATCCTATCCTCTATTAAGTCGAAAATTGAAAGAAAGAGAGAGAGTAGAAGAAGCTTACCCAAAAATGGAGAACAAAAGGGCCCCTTTTCTCTTGGAGTGAAATAAAGATGGATAAGAGAATGATGGAGATGGAAGGATGTTGGAGACGAGGGTTTGTGATGGAAATAGGGTTAGAAGGGAGAAAAAGAGATGGAATAAGAGGGAGAAAGAGAAAGAGAGCGGTTAATTCGAAGGAGAGAGAGGAGGGGGAGTTATACATTTGAAATTGGCCTAGATTGGGGCCTTTTAGTGGGGCTACGAAGCATGGCGGGCGCCCGTGGAGTGTCAAGAGGTGCCCCGTTGCACGGATAAAGGCACACGGTGGGGGCCCGCGAGACATGGCAGGGCCCCACAGAATTCTAGACTCGCTGCCTGTTTTGGTGGGTACCCTCAAGGATTTGGTGGGCACCCACAAGGCTCATGGGCATAAACCTCCCTCTTGAAGTGATTTTGATTTTTAGCCTAACGGAGGCCGGGCCGGGGTCGAAAAATTCTCAAATTTGAAATTTAACCTTTTATGGACCTTAGACACCTTGTATAACCCCCGGAACGAGAATCAGAGCTCAATTGCAAAAACGATATTTTAGAGGCTCGAATTTCCCATGATTTTTGGATTTTTC